AGGTAGGTTAATTTATTTCTACCTGAAGGTAGATTTGGTTTGCAGTCAAGAGTCCTCATCTCACAACAGTGCCACACAAAGGAACTCACACAGCAACAACAGCAAATGAACATTAAGACATAAAACATAAACAAAGAATGAACAAATACTCATTTTAAGTGTCATAAGTCTTCAAGTTAGATTTAAAAGCAATGATGGAGAAATCCTGATGTTCAGAGCGAGACCTTGGGGCCACAACACAGAAAGCTGGATCACCTTTTGATTTGCAGCGAGGGATCGACAAAAGAAACTGATCATGGGACCTTAATGGCGGCTGCATTCTGGACCAACTGTAACTGAGAGAGTGTTGACTGAGGTAGACCAATGTACAAGGAGTTGCAGTAGTCTAACCAAGAGGAGATTAAAGCATGGGTTACAGTTTCTAGATCTTTTTTTTTTTTTTTTAGAGAGAAATGGTTTAACTTTTGCCACCAATCTGAGCTGGAAGAAGCTGCTCTTCACAACTGCATTCACAATGCTTGTCAAACTGCAGAAGTGGATCTAAAATTACTCTGAGATTGTTGGCATGACTGTGCAGATTACAGTTTAGGAATCCTAGCTGAGTTTCAACAGGATAAGAAAACTCAGTCTATGAATAATGATGAGAAACAGACGCGTCATCACTGGACAGGCAAGTCACTGAAATCAGCTGACCAAAGCATAAACTAATACATTCATCCAGTGAAACAAGTTGCTAACATTTATTAGAGAAAACTTATTGTGAATTAGAGGAGGAATCAATAAAACACCTGTTTTTGAACGCACATATACTCAAATGTTTTGATTTGATGTTGACAAAGGTGTGAAGTAACGAAGTACAAATACTTGGCTACTGCACTAAGGTAGATTTTTACTTTACTCCACTACTTTTTTCTGAAAACTTTTTACTTTTACTCCTTACATTTTTACACAAATATCTATACTTTCTTCTCCTTACATTAAATTTGGTTCGTTACTTTCGTTTTAACATGTTTTGTGGCACAATTTATATTATTTATTATTATTATACATTATTAACATGTATTGAACTTTATCCATTCAGAAAAATATACACAATACCCTGAAAATAAATATACAAAAAAAAAAACACAATTAGTGAAATCATAAGAGCTGCAAGAGTGTGCTGTTTGCAGAAAATAAAGCAACTTTGGCATAATACAAACAAACATTTGCAGTCAAATACATTCATTTAGTTTATTTCATCAAAGGAAAAACCTGAAATATGTTTTGGACAAAATGAAGTGTTAAATTTAGGTCATTTATTAGTTATGAATATATAGACCTACAAAATAATGTTTTAAAATATATGTAAACTACTATATGGCAAGTTTTGTGTCCAGGTGATGACCCACAGGGCAACTTTTTCAGCAGTGTTGTTGTACAATACTGTAGAGTGATGTTGGTTGGCTAGTTTGCAGCTGAATATACAAAAATATATATAGAAATGCAAGTTAATTTGTATAAATGTACACATGATGTGCTGTGTGGTTACCACCGTGAAACTAAAACATGTAGTAGTAATGAATATTTTTTTTACTTCAGAACATATTTCAGGCTGTACTTATTTTTACTTGAGTACAGAAGTGTAGTCAGTACTTCAACTTTTACCAGAGTCATTATAAATATGAGTATCTGCACTTCTACTTGAGTAAAGGATGTGTGTGCTGTTGCCATCTCTGGATGTCGAATATCTTATATTTTAACTTACAAAATTAAAAATTCAGTTTTCTTGTAAAAAAATTTTTTGATGTACAATAATAACAAAACTGGAGCAAAATTTGTCTCTTATTTTAATCATAATATATGGGAAGTACCACATACACAAACAAAAATGGTCCAATGACAAGCCTAATATTTATTTGTTTAAAATTGATCATGAGTATTATATCGAAACCATAAATTACACAAAAATATAAGAAAACCATTAAGATTTGTGCAGTTTGGGAATCCTTTTCTTGTGCTAAGTTTTTGTAATTTCTATATCCCCTGTGATTAACTATTTATTTAATTTTCTACTGATTGGTTTCTTTGATGTAAAAAAAGTATTGTAATCCTCATTTTTTTGTATGATATTGTTCTTATAATGCAAAAAAAAACTCGCTCAAAAGTATCCAGTTTCCCCACAATTAAAGCTAACAGGTGCTAACCTTGTCTTAACACACACACACACACACACACACACACACACACACACACACACACGTGTTAAAACCTCGTATGAAGTACTCGAGGGCTTCTTAAAATGAGCTGTGTGAATGTAAAAGCAGCTTCAGCTCAATGTGTGCTGTTTCTCTGGCCTCTAACACAGTATACAGAATAATAATGAGTGCATGTAGAGCTCACACAGGAAATAAACAGCATTATTAAACATGGTATAACTCTTGTAACATTAGTCAGCTTCACTCACGCTCAGTCTCCAGTAGTTTGCTCTCAATTCTCCACGGAGATTTCTCACATGCAGGAACAACGATCGTGTGAGCAGCAAATGAAGCAAAATCACACGACTGCAGCCACTACACACTCACAAACTGATGGAAAACGGGAATCTTCCTCTCCTTCACTGCTGTATCCACTACATCTCTCTCTGTGTAACTCCCGCTTCACACTGCGCGCTCTGTAACGGACGAGCGAGCGGGCGGTGTCTGCTTAGCGCATGCGCGAACTCTTATAAGGCAGTGAGCAGTCTGAGTGTGTTAAGCATGGGGGATGTTAACATACATCACAAACTACTTAAACAATTAATCAAAGTCCTTTTTTATGCATCACTCTGCAGTCTTCATAAACAAGCTAATTAAATAACAAACTCAAAATAATCTTCATTGTTAGTGTATTTGACAAGTCACTCTATTGTAGATTTACACATTTCTAACATTCAACTACATCAAGACACACCTGTAAACTTTAACAGATGCAGTTGAAGTCAATTGATTTGCCTTCCCATTAACTTAATGTTTCCTAAGTGATCTTTAACAAACCAAGGAGATTTTCACAGCATTTCCTATAAAAACAAATTATTCTGCAGTCATAAGTCTTATTTAATTTGACGTTATCATTTTTTCTTCTATATCATTCTTATTAAAAACTGCCTTTATTCAGGTCAATATTTATTAGGGAGGCTAATAACACATATGTTTGATTGTCACAGTCAAGATAATGTTTAACCAATTTAATTATTCTAACTTTCCTAGTTAACATGACCTATAGTGAAGTCTTTAAATTACACTTTAATCTGAATACAATATCATGCTAAATCACTAGTAAAATATGATGCACTGACTGTCACCACGGGAAAGACAAGTAGCTATTAAAAATTAAACTATTACGTTTAAAAAAGGTGTTGTAAATAAATCATAGTTAGACGAACACTATTGACTAACACAAAAATCAATGAAGGCAAAACTAAAGGAGTTGATTACTACTTCTACACAAGCAGGACTGAAAACTGCATTTGATCACTGTGGTACATCAGGACTTTCAAACAGTTTGTAAATTCAGGACTGCATTTAAGTAAATCTGTGTACGCTGAAGTTTTGATTAATAATAGCCTCTGCATAGGCGAGGACTTCCTCTGTTAGGCCCCGTTTACACTAGTGCGTTTTAGTTTTAAAACGGCGTTGTAGAATGAAAACGATCCGCGTCCACACTCGCGTTTTACCCAGCGTTTCTGAACAGCTCTCCGTCCACACCAAAACGCTGAAAACGCACATCACGTGACCACACACACACACTCAGGCAAGGGCTCCAGCATTTCTACCCAGATGAGAGCTCTGCTTGTCGGACTGCTCATCAAGCATCTCCCGCTGGATCTAATCTCACTATATTTATTAAACGGGATATTTCATTCATCTTGTTGTCTTTATCTAACGACATAGGCCAATTCCCTGACTTTGGTCATTGGAATCTATTAAGTTACTTGTTCACGGTAAAATGTTTTGGTTAAGCGCAAAGATAAGTTAATGATTAATCCAGGTACATTGACTGATCGCTTGCCTTTATTTCCTGCAATGTATAAACTTATTGTATGTTATACTTATAATTATCAATTATTAAAACTGATATTCAGCAAAAGAGAGGGTGTGTTTCGTATTTTCACTGAAATTGAAAGGAGGCAGTTGTTATCGGCTCCATTTTGTTATAAATATCCACACAGTGGATGACGCTCATATATGAAGATGACGCTCATATATGCAGCACGGCGCCTCAACATTTCTGCTGTCTGTTAAGTTGCAAATATTAAAATGAAAATAGGCAGTTCCTTAAATCAAGTTTACATTTTATTGTTAAGAAAGTGAAACAACGTAGCCAGGGTGATGTGAATGAAGTTATAAAGTACACTGTTCCCTTTGAAGATTTACCCGTGTCCTCGGTATGTTTTCCATATCAAACTGATCAAGGCTGCAGTCTCTTCTCAAACTTGCGAAATCTTAACTTACAACAAGAAGAGGATGCGAGACTGAACTGTGTGTGGGCTACTTAATATTGAGGAAAAGCCCCAATCAGATAGGCGAACGTTTGCAGTGAGAAAAAAAACGTTTGCAGGGAGAAAAAAAAAAAAAAAAAAAAAAAAAAAAAAAAAGGAGTATATTCACCACATAATTGGCAACGGATTAGAAAATTCATTCTAAATTGAAGCTGGCTTAGCCTAGCCACCTCATACGAGAAGAAAAAAAATAAAATTCCACCATCCAGTCTAAAGTTTTAGAATACCAGATTGTGCATATGGATTGTGCCAACGCTGTGACCTGTATCTCCTGGGCGTAGCTATTGTGCAGCTATGGGGATTCCAGCAAATTTTACAATATTATGCAGTTAAAAAAAATAAATAAATAAAATAAAAAAAGAAAAGGAGGGGCAGTTTCAAAGATATAAGAGTTGTTGGAACCTTGAGCACATGTTGGTATTGCATCCCTCATCTCACCCACAAACCCCTAATTAAAGAGTCCAGAGAGAGAAGAGCAGATTTAAATACAAGGACATTTATTTACTTTTTAAATACATGGAGTAGCCAGAACTGAATCCCAATCATGAACAGACAGAAGTGTATGTGGTCTCAAAACTTTCACCTGAAAGAGAAAGCAGAGTATGAAACACCGTCTGAAATCAAATCAAAATGGTCAATAATAAAAGATGCATACTTCTCTGATAATAGTCATAAACATTGATGACTGCTGGCTTGAGATTCTTCACTGCAACAGTCTGTGTCAGCTGTATACTGTAGGTCACTGGGACGCCTTTGGGAACCTGCAGACAGAAGGGTTACTGGCGACAGCACTACCAACTGCGACACTGCTTCACCCTACTCTTGACTTTGGTTTAATATAAATAAATGCTCGTGCAAACAAGAGGGATGAAGTCTAAAAATTCCAAAAATTAATTTAAGGGTGCGAGTTAAATGTTTCAGCCAGAAAGTCAAAGTACTTTGAAGTCTACCATTTCGCCAACCTTAAGCTTTAAAAATGGCATAATTTATCATTAAGTGCAAGTAACAACTATCTCACCTCTTGTAGATAGACAAGCACACGATCACCTTCAGTATCCACCCTCTGCACCAATGGAGAGAAATTGGGTGGAGATCCAAGCTGTGAGGGGAACGAGGAAAAATACAATAAACATTCAGCAAGTTTCAAAAGATCCCAAAAAGTCACCCTCAAAACGAATACAAACCAGTGATGTGTCTGCAGTGAATCCTGACAACACCTTGATGTCCACCAGAAGCATGTTAGTAGTTGGTTTTGGACCAGTGTATCTGACATGGAAAGACAGGTCATGTTAAGGAACAAGCTATCTTGCTCCAACACTGGAGTGGCATAGATGTGCTTTAGAAATGTTTATGACGGGAGCTAGCACAGTATAAACCGTACATGAAGAACGGCATTGCTGAACAGTGTCCACTTTAAAATACACAAGTCATCCATCTTATGCAAAATCACCATTGCAACTGTATAAATGATACAAAAGTTTTGCGAATGCTTTTTGGCCACTGCTCTACTCTAGAAGTGCAGAAAGTAAAGCCTTGGCAAAGAATTGGCTAGCCTTAACGTCATATGTAAAGCTGAAAGACATCCTTACTTGACTGTGAAGGTCAACATCAGATTGACTGGTGACCCCTTGCAGTTTCCAGTCACCTTTGCAACAACACTCAGTGTTTTGGCAACCACAACAGGAGTCGGAATGTTGTAAAAACAGGCAACCTGCGAGTGTAAACAAGAACTCAATGCAAGGAGTGTTCATGGGCACAAAAACAAGTAGGGAAGGTGAACGCACAGACCTGGACTGACACACAAGTGGATCCCGAAGCTACAACACTATATGTGCCTGGAAAGTTGTTGAGTGGACTCTCCTGATACAGCAAGCGGTTGTTGGGAGTCACAGCAAAGTTGTACACATCTCCTGCTGGCACTGAGGACTGAACGGTAACTGTGCTGGAACCTCCAGAACTGAACACGAGACTAGCATATAAAGCCATAGCCTGAAGAGCCACCACGGTGTCCTACACAAGCAGAAGAACAAACTCATCTCAGCTACATTAGTGTCAAGAGGTTCCAAACAACTTGAACTGATTTAATTGTCAGGGAACCATTAACTTTACAGGGGAGTATGGCAACCATTTCTTATCGCAAAAAAGCAAAGCAACTTAAAATACTGCATTCGAGGTACACATTCGTATAAGAACAATCATTTGAGTCAAATCAGGTCCAGCTACAAGATGAGCTACACAGTGCATTAGCATAATACAGACTCTAATGGACTTTAAAAGCACAACAAATGCTTAATGTTTGTTCGCTTAAGTCACCTGAGTGGAGGAGAAACCACCATAGGGATTCTGCTGGGCCACAAGCCAGTTGACAATGCGGTTAGCATAGCCCAGATTAGCAGTGGTCACAGGCTGTACAGTGAGAACTGCTAACAGCACATATGCACTGATCTCCACTGCCAGAGTGTCCCCTGATGTAGTCTGAGACCAGTGGAGAGTAGTACCTAAGAGAACAGGAGAAGGGTTTATATTGGTTTCTAAAAATGCATACCTTTGCTGTTGGCAAAGCTGAACAGTAGCCTGACGAACACTTATTCCTCCATCTCAATTTAACAAAGCAAATAGATGGCTAATGTTCACCTTCAGAAATGGCAGTGTTTCTCAAGGAATTTAAAAGCTGTGCTCGAGTGCTGGTCTCTCCAGCCAGACTGAAGGTGTAGGCGAGCAGAGCAGTGACATAGGTGTTCCCCAGATTTCCAACAAGAGGCCTCAAAAACGACAGAGCCTTAGTAATGACAGGGTCCTGGAAGAAAACGAAGAAACTTCAAGCATGGAACTATTGAAAACTAAATTTGACCAAGGTTAAACGCAAATGGCTCAAAACCAAACTGACAATACTAGCCAACAAGTCAATCCATTTCACCTACAGATGATAAAAGTTAAACCCGTACCGTGACAGGGACTCCAATTTCAAGCAGTGCTGCAACGATGTAGCCAGTCATGGTCACGTTATCACCAACTCCACCCTAAGACACAACAGTATCAGAACTTGTCAATTGCTGCTTGGTTATAATAGGTGGAAGTGTTACGTACTCTCATGTCATTGTGGTAGAGAGTCCCCTGTTGCACAAAACAGCCATTTGAAGCCTGCTTGCTTATCAACCAGTCCTTTGCACTCTGAAGAACGTTGGGGTCTATGTAGGTGAAGCTCCTCGCTAGACCAAAAGTCCTCATGACAAAGGCCGTCAACCTGGGAGACAGAGCAAGTTCAGTTATGCGACACCTTAAATCATCAAGACTTGAAGTGCAGGACACGCACCATGTATTGGATTCATCATAACCAAAAGTGCTGAATGAACCATCACTGTGCCTGTAGTTCAGCTGTCCTTGATATCCTATTTCAAAGCAAACAAACGTGAAGTGTAAAGTGCTTAACTAGATAGCACTGGAGACTGTTTAAATACAGTTTGGATCATACCACTCTGAAGATAAGTCATGGCAGTGTCTTGGATGGCTGGGGTGAGCTGTGCAGTTACTTTCAGATACCGTAGGATGTAAATATTGGGACCAAGAATGATCATATTCTGTTCTCCACAGCCATAAGGCATCTGTAGCAAGTTAGCCAGATTCTTTAGTGCACGACCCATTATGTCCCCTGAAGAGATTAAACAAAGTCCAAAAATCCAAATCAGAAACCACTCGAGTCAGCTAATGAAGATAGATTACACAAAGTCTTTGAAATGATGAATATACAGAAGTTGGAAATGTAACCAAATCGCAATGGTCAAGGTCCATGTAACTAATTGCACTTTCCTCCCTCCCAACCAAATAGAATTGATTGCTAAAGCAACTGGCAATTCAAATACAGCTTTGCTTCCCTACAGTGGTTTGGTGGTCTCCTTCTAGAAAATCCCTTTACCAATGACTGATACAGAGCATCTGGCTGATCCCTGGATGACATTCTTTGGAAAGGTGATCCTCGCATCTTCTGAAAGCATGCTTCCTGTGAACCAAACAACCAATCAGCAGACAGCACTAGGATCTTAAGTTTAGAAGAGTACATTTAAGTCAAACTAACCCTTTGGACAGAGTAACCAACTCCGGGTGAAAGTTCTTTTGACTCCTTCAGCCTAATTAAAAAAAAATAATAAAATAATAAATAAAATGCATCAGTAAAGGAGCACCATGAGCCCTTTGGAAAACTGCAAAAGTTTTTACCAGAACCAGCAGACTACGAGTGACTATGTCAATGCGTCCTCTTGATGGTACAGTCACAACCCGATTACCACACAGTTCCTGGGATGGGTTAGCCTGGGCACTGATGGTCACATTTACAGTTCCTACACAACAGAAATAAATTAAGCATGACCCTCACACATGCTCACTTTCAATTTATAAAAAGTCAAACAAACCAATAACAGAAGCAGTTAAAGCCCATTTGAAGGTCTTTCTCCCATTGGCAACGAGAGTGGATGAAGACTGATCAAGAGAGTTTAGAGTGAAGTTGGAGGATGGCGTTGGAGTCACTTGAACCTGACAATGAGCAACAGCATTAGTGGACATTGAATAGAGATATGCATGTGTGAATCCATAAAGTGAACCCAGACCTTGATGCATTGGGACAGATAATTGAAGACTGTGGCCTTTAGCTCAAAAACCTCCCCACGGATTATGGAGTAAGGCAGGGTGAGCTCTAGGAAGAAGGGCTGGAAGGCAGTCAACAGAGCTGGTGGAGCCAGACCAAAACCATTGGAGGACAGACAGAAGGCCTCAGTTTTCCATGTAGTGATGGTATCAGGAACTGTGAGGGGAACTGATGTGGACCCAGAGTCTCTGAAGACAAGGACCACAAAAATATACGGTTGTGGGGCGGTAGGGTTAAAAAAAAAAAAAAAAAAAAAAAAAAAAAAAATTATATATATATATATATATATATATATATATATATATATATATATATATATATATATATATATATATATATATATATATATATATATATATATATATATATATA